TAACTCCTGGGCTAATAAGTTACTGTTGGCTACTCTTACTGAATCCCTACAGAATCCCTGCAGAAACTGATCCAAATTGTGGTTCTCGTTGTAGGGGAGGGGTGTCAGGCATGAGGAGAGGAAGCACTTGCCCCACCAGACCTAGTAACTGGAGATTCTAGCTCATGCTTTTTTAACTACTGAGGTAATTCCAGATTAATATTTCATTGAAATGAATTGAAACTGCACAAGAATGAGGAGAATCAAATAAAATTAACTTTCTTCACTCATGTGGAGATTGAGGAAGGACCCTTAGACATTTCTGTGGGACAGTTTGTCAACATCTTTCTAGTGCTGGCATTTTAAGAACGTTGATCAAAGCTCTCCATGTCCTTTCACCTAGTCATTCTGCAGATTTGTTCTTAGAAACAAATTGGAGTTGCTTTAACAGATACATGTGCAGAGCAAAAATTGGAAGCAACTTGAATGCCTGACAGGGATTACTGACAGAATTATAGTGCATTCATATTTAGAGTAATGGGCAAGCATTAAGAAACTGACATTAGTTATTTCAGATGACTTTGCACAGTGACCACCCCTCTGACTTAAAATGATAGGTATACAATTACAGTTCTTTGCAGATGTGTGGCTGAGTCACCACTGTTAGTATATATGTTATTAGGGATTTTTTTTTTGGTTTATGATTTACCAAATTCGGTAAATTTGTTTTTTTTGTTGATAGTTTTTTAAAAGTGTAGTCAACCTAGGCTTACATACATTGTTTTTTGTATATGTATAAATAGTTTTTTTGTATATCAGTTTTTATTTTTTGGAGATGGAACTGAGGGCCTTGCTCTGGCAAGCATTTAGCCACAGAGCTATATCCTTAGCCTTTGTTTAACCTTTTAATATTTTGAGCAAAAGGAGCCTAAGGACAGCACCCAGGCCCAGAGTTCAAGCCCCTTTACTGGCCAAAAAACAAAACAAAACAGAACACCTCTGGCCAAATGTGAGGTCTCTCCCATATACCATTTAGGTGTTGTACACCTGTCAGTCCTGCATCAGAAAGCAGTCCAGTGTCCTTGAATTTAGATCAGTTCATACTACTGAACTGGAGACCACACCTGATCCCACACGGACTGAGCTATACTTTCTCTTCTAGTGTCAAGCCCCAGGTTCTTTTATCCTTGCTTCTCAGCAGGTCATCTCTGTCTTAGGGTCCCACGATCCCTTCTTTCACTTCAGCTAATTGGCTAAAACAACTCACAAAATTTAGGAAAACAAGTCTAAAAGATATACAAATAAATCAGGTCTGGGAATGTAGCTTAGTGGTGTTGTGCTTGCCTTAGCATGCATGAAGCTCTGGGTTTGATCAGTACCACATAGACAGAAAAAGCTGGAAGTGGTGCTGTGGCTCAAGTGGTAGAGTGCTAGCCTTGAGCAAAAGAAGCTCAGGGGTGGTGACCAGGCCCTGAGTTCAAGCTTCAGGACTGGGAGGGTGAGGGGGAGAAGATATACAAATAAAAATTACCCAGATGGAGAGGAGCATACATACAACAAGGTTGGGAAAGGACTCCGGCTCTGGAGCTCCTGTCCCTGAGGAGGTAGGATGTACCATCCAGCACGTGGGTATTTGTCCATCTTGTCCATCTTCCCTGGAGTCCCCAATGTCCCCCAGTCCACAAGCTCTTTGAACCCAGTCCTTAAAAAATTTTTTTTGTGTGTATGTAAGCATGGTTAAGATAGGAGTTGTTGATGGTCAGCCAAGTCAACCTTTGGCACCTTTCTCCTTCCCTCCAGGTCCTAGTGTGGGGCTGAAAGTCCCAACATTCTGTTCCTATCCCCAGCCCAGAGCTACCTATAGGGGCTTGTCAGCTAAGCCAGTCATTAACATAGACAGAAACTCTCAGTGCTTGTATCATTGCCAGAAACTTTAGGAGTTGTATGCCAAGAAATGGGGACAAAGACCAAGTACGTATTGCAGTGTCACAGAGCAGTGTTTTATTTGTGTGTGAAGTTGGCAGAATCGTAGTATCTTACAACTTCATTTGACTAAGTATGAAACTGGGCTGAACTTTTGGGATTAGGTACGTAGTGTTCAGCAGAACTTACTAATTAATCTCACTGGGTTGTGACCCAGACATGGGAGAAATTTTTTCTTCAGATTTGGATGATTTCAGAGTCATAAAGTTACATCAACATGTGAAAGCAACCTTACACAGTTTCTCTGGTTCCTGTCCTTTATTTAGTCTTCATGGTACTCGCGTGTGCCAGCCTACTACTGCTCCAGAAACAATTTAATTCCTGCTGTGTTTTGTTAGCATCTAGATAAGCACTGTTGGAAACAGACTACAAGATAATGTCCATGTAACAGCTCAAAACTGTTCAAAAACTGGAGTATAAGTCCATTACCTGTATGTTTTACATATGGATAGTTACATTTAGGGAGAGTGAGGTTTGTGTTTGGTTTAAGAGGACTTAGCAGGCCTGAGATAGGGTCTCCTGTTCGTTAATAGTTCTACTCCCTCCCTCTTTGCTTACTTCCTTTCCTGTATGGTGGATATACTTCAATAAAAGAAATAGCCAGGCATGATGGCACAAGCCAGAAATCCCAGAACTCAGGAGACAGAGGCAGAAGGATTCAGAATTTGATCTAGCCTGGGTTAAAACCTCCAGAGGCTCTGTCTGAATAATCCAAGGTCTGGGACATAGCTCATTGATAGTGTAGTAGCATAACATGCACAAGGCTCTGGGTTCATTCTGTAGCACCACAGGGGAAACAAATTAAAATAGAAAAATAATCAATGGGACATTTTTCCCTCAGCTTTTAGGGTACTGTATGTTTTAGAAGGGAAAGTGTGCTGAGGATAGAACCCATTGCTAGGGCCTTACACATGCTAGGCAAGCACTCCACCACTGTCCTTAGAGCATTCCTGTGTTAAGAAATTATTTTAAAATCTGTAAATTTCACCCCAAATAAATGTGCTGGTAGAAAGCCTAATCCCCAGTATGGAAATCCCTTTTATTTGCTTCATGGTCATGTGGTTTCTTTGTTTACACCTGTAAGGTCTTGAGTCTCCTTGCCTGCAAGGCAAGCACTTCCACTCTGAGCAGTTTCTCTGTCCCCTTGGAACCTGCCTGTAGTGGAACTTGCCCACTGTACCTGCCACAAAAGTTTTAGATGAGTTTTCCTCTTGAAATTACTCAGGGCATGGGTTCTGGGTAGGCAAGCTGTTTCATCCTAGGACTGACTGAGTAGATGCACTCAGTTGAGTTTTAGAAAATGGATCCTACTCAGTTTCTTATAACTGAAACACTAGTAGAAGTTGGACTAAATTTCTCTCTCTCTCTCTCTCTCTCTGTCTCTCCTCTCTCTCTGTCTCTCCTCTCTCTTCTCTCTCTGTCTCTCTCCTCTCTCCTCTCTCTCTCTCTCTCTGTCTCTCCTCTCTCTCTGTCTCTCTGTCTCTGTCTCTCTCTCTCTCTCTGTCCTGGGGCTTGGGCACTGTTCCTGAGCTTCTTTTGCTCAAGGCTAGCACTGTACCACTTGAACTACAGTGCCCCTTCCAGCTTTTTCTGTCTATGAGGAATTGAGCCCAGGGCTTCATGCATGCTAGGCAATCACTTACCACTAAGCCACTTCCAGCCCTGGACTAAATTTCTTTCGACTTTATTTGAAGAAGAAAATGTATGAGAACACCTTTGTAGAGTAGACTGCCGCCAAGTTTGTTACCTTCTCCCACTGATAGAATGCAAATATTCTATAGAGTTCTGCTTTACAAACAAACTGATCCTTCATAGCAGGCTGTTTCTGAAGCAAAGAAACAAGCTGTTTGTTTTGCTGTTTACTTGTGGTCCTCACTACTGCTGTCAGTCCTTGCCAAAGCACAATGCCCACTCTCCACTTTCTCACAGCTTTTCTTTTACTGTTGTCTGTGACCTTTTCTCCTGCCAAGTTTGTGGTCCATACAAAACTGTCGATATAGGAAGACAGCCTCAGGCACCTGACTAGAAGCATACATGTCTTTCCCATTGTGTACCAAATGAGTTAACAGGTCTTATTTGGCCTTCAGACCACCATTCCTGCACCCTGTAAGGAATCTGGTAAACCTTGGGAGCCTTTCCAATAAAACAGCCTTGGAACACTGGAAGCTAGAGACCCTATGGCCCCCAGAAGTATACCAAGGAAAAGTTGGCTCTCCTGAGATTTCTTTTTTGATTTGCCTGTTTAAAAACCTGTGTCTCACTCACAACACCCTCACCTACCAGCCATTCTTTTCCTAGCACTACTGGGGCTCACTTACTGGCTGGCTGGTTCATTTGACACTTAATTCATTAAGCAACAAAAGACAAACTGTTTTGCTCACTGAGAGGAAGGGACTTTGGAGGATTAGTGTCACCGGCGGGAAGCTGCCTCTGTCCTTTGGGTTCAGTGCCTTTTTGCTTTGTGTTTGCTGGACTGTGCGTATAAAGGTAGAAACCAGGGCCTGTGGTGTTTGGTTTTTTCCTGTTAATCACTACTGATCAGTAAGTGTTCAGCACAGGATCTCCCCCCTCCCCCTCTCTCTCCTTTTGTACTAGGGCTTGAACTCAGGGCCTGTCACTGTCTCTTAGCTTATTTGTTCAAGGCTAGTGCTCTAGCACTTGAGCCATAGCTTCACTCTTGATTTTTTTTCTGGTTAATTGGAGGTAAGAGTCTCACAGACTTTCCTGCCCAGGCTAGCTTCAAACTGTGATCCTTAGATTTCAGCCTCCTGCCTGAGTAGCCAGGATTACATTTGTGAGCCACCGGCACCCAGCTACACAGGGAATTTCCTAATAGTTATTTGGGCTTTTTTGATTAAATTACCTATATTTCCATTTTAGCTTAGCATTAATTATAGCATTAAAATAAGGTAACAGTCTGTGAACATAAGGTTATTATTAGCTGAAAGCTATTGTAAGACTTAGAGAAGGTTACTTACAGAACAGACTTGTTAGCTTGGCCTTGCTCATGTTAACTTTTTTCCTTTTTCTTTAGTCTGCATGAAGAAATCAGTGATTTTTATGAATACATGTCTCCAAGGCCAGAAGAGGAGAAGATGAGGATGGAGGTGGTGAACAGGATTGAGAGTGTGATTAAGGAGCTCTGGCCCAGCGCTGATGTAAGTACCAGCTCCAGAGCCAGGGATCTGGGGACATCCCCTACCCTGGATGGAGGCTTGACTATTGCTGTTTCATGCAGTGTGATCTCACATGCAATATATGTGCTTTTGTAGAATTAGTGTCTAGTTAAATTTTAAAGGCAAACAATTTTATGCAGTCTTTAGAATTATTTAATTACTCGACTCATTTCTCTACTTCACCACCAAGTGCTAAATAGCAACTATAAACATGAACTGAATTTAGGAATCATCAGTGTCAGGTGTGGTAGTCTGTTACTCCATGTTATTTTATGAAAACCCTATTACTAGCCAGGTGCTGGTGGCTCACCTGTAATCCTAGCTACTCAGGAGGCTGAGATCTGAGAATTGCAGTTTGAAGCCTTTTTGGGCAGGAAAGTCTGTAAGACTCTTTTTTTTTTTTTTTAGTATTTTTTTTTATTGTGAAAATACTGTACAGACGGGTTACAATTACATGGGCAAGATAATGAGTACATTTCTTATCAAGCATTGTTGCCTCCTCCTTTGTTTCCCCTTCCCATCCCATCCTCCCCCGCCCCCCTGTAAGACTCTTAACTACAGTTAATCACCCTAAAGCCAAAAGTGGAGCTATAGCATAAGGGGTGAAGTGCTAACATAGGACCAAAAAGCTCAGGGACAATACCCAGGCCAAATTAAAGCCCCAGGACCCACACCCACACCCTTTACTTTAATCCAGCCTGCCAGTATAAATATTACCATTGTTTACAACTGAATGAAAATGTCACCTTGGATTTATTCTGTTGTTTGAAGTTCCTTGTTTTAGGCAAGTGCAGGTATACATCATTTTCTGCCTGTTTCTCCTTATTAGATGTATATTTTTCTTTAAAGAAATGGAAAAAAAAGGGCAACACTACGATCATAATCATTACTATCAACACTATAATGGAATAAACTACATAGTATATATGCATGCGTAAGCATATGTATACACACATGCACATATACATATTTACTGACATTGTCATTTCATTTTATGTGGTTGGTTTCTTCTGCCTCTCTTGAAGCAGTATTTTTTCTTCTTTGGCCTGCTCCTTATCTCTTGGTAAATCCCCAGCCAGTGAACAGAATGTTGTCCAGGATTGCTTCCAGAACTCATTACTTTGTGCTTCATAACTTTTCTTTAGACTTTGCCCTGAGGTTGTATAGGAGAAGCCAGGGAGATTTTTATCCAGTTGGAAAAGAAGGGTTTTGAGTATGATGCTGTAGGTGAGGGAGAGGCATTTTGTTGAACAGCTACTCAATGCTTTGTTGTTATTGTCTTTGCCATGTACTGGGCTCATTTTGCTCCACAGCAACTGTGGCAGTGTCTTGTGATGTCATGGCTTGGAAACACTGCTGGCATCTAATGGGTTGAGACAGAAGGCTGCTAAGCATACTACAGTGAACAGCAAAGAGCTGTGCTAAACAGTAGTAGTGCTGAGGATGAGAACTCCATGTAAATGAAACCTCATTCTGAGATTAATCGTTATCCATTCCTTGCTCTTTTTATAGAAGATTATGAAGCTGTGGTTAGGTTCCCAGTCCATTTCAGTGCTAGGCTGAGTCTTGTCCTTCACTGAAGTTACAAGCACACATATTTGTCCCATTTTCCGTTCTCCATGGCATGATGCTTGGTAAAAGTACTTAAGTTCTCTGTGAAGATGACTACAGTTGAAATGATCTGGTTTAGTGAGAATTCTAGATCAGAAAACAAACTAAGATGTGTGATTGTGCTTCCAGGAGAAGGGAACATTAGACATTATTTTAATCTATATGTTTCATATTCGAAATTTTGATAACTGTATTCAGAATGTCTACTTGGGGGGGATACAGAATATCTGCATTATGAGAGAGCATGGTGTCAGAAAAAATGCTAATGTATTACCAAAAATTGCCAGTAGAGGGTAGCAAAAGCCTGTGCTTTTTTCTATAGCATGTTGCCTTATACTTTAATACTTTCTTTTTCTATTTCAGGTCCAGATATTTGGAAGCTTTAAAACTGGCCTGTATTTACCTACTAGGTTAGTACATTTATAGACTTTCTAGAGATTGTACATTTTCTATAGTGTAGTAATTTCGGCTGTTGAATGTATGTGTAAGATTAGAAACAGAGCTGGGTGCTGGTAGCTCATGCCTGTAATTCTAGCTATTCAGGAGTCCGAGATCTGAGGATTGTGATTCAAAGTTAGCCTAGGCAGGAAATCCTGAGACTCTTATCTCCAATTAACCACCAAAAAGAAATTGGAGCCATGGCTTAAATGGTAGAACACTCTCCTTGAACACAAAAGCTCAGAGACAACACCTTGATCCTGAATTCAAGCCTCAGCACACACACACACACACACACACACACACAATTAGAAAACAGAATAGTGAGATTTTAAAAACAGGTTCATGTACTTATATCACATGTGATGGTCTTTATCAAGACTGAGATGACTCAGAGATGAAAAGGAGCACATAGCAATGGAACTAGAAATTGACTATATTGCAGAGGTCTGCTCAGTCCTGTGACTAAGCCAGACACTTAGGTGCTGATAGGCTGTCTTTATGGACTGTGGGTTATTACAAGTTGCTGTCTCTACTCCAGGATGGGAGGGTTCCTTTTTATTCAGAATGCAAACAGTTAGCATCCTGACTCAGAAGTTCAGACCATATCATCACTTTCTGGGAAGTCTTGGCCTTTCTAGGCCCCTAGTCCCGTTTCCTACTGAAGGCTTGCTTGGTATACAGCCTGGGTGGCAATGTTTCCATTTGATTTCATCTGTTTTCCCCCAACTCACAGTAGGCTGGAGTGGACAGAATTAAGCAAAGGCCATTCTTCCAGTGCTGGCCTTGGCCTATAGCAGCCATAACATACTCAAGTACATTAGTATTTTTCCTTATTTAAGTTCTGGGTTTCAGGAGGACCCAAATCACTCCAAAATAATTTTTTAAAATAATTTTAAAATATGAATAGGTCATACAATCATTATGGTTCAGATTGGAAATACATGAAAGTAGAGAAGGAAAAGTCTTAATCTTACGGAGTCCCCTGGTCTTCGGTGGAACATCCTCTCATAGCATTTTTCTCACATACCCTTTTGGAGATTATCTGTACACATGGAAAGAAGAGTGTGCTTGCACTTACTGCTGGGCATAATTAACCTCACTCAGATAATAGAACCGTAAGTTTACCACCAGAAAAAAAGCCTTTATTTAAAGGAAATACTCAGTATTATTTTTGAGGTTTATTTCTGCCAGAATCACCTGATTTCCTAAGTCCTTGTGAAATCCCTGAGGAGAAGAGGTTGCTAAAATCAACACCTGTCACCATCAGTATGTTGGACTTAATGGGCAGGGAGGGAAATAGGCTCTCATGGATTAACTTGAATGTCAACTGAAACAGGAATCATTTCTTGCTTTTTCAAAACTTTCATGTGTTCTTTGTGCTCAGTGATATCGATCTTGTGGTGTTTGGGAAATGGGAGAACCTGCCCCTGTGGACCCTGGAAGAAGCCCTTCGGAAACACAAAGTTGCAGATGAAGACTCAGTGAAGGTTCTAGACAAGGCAACTGTAAGTTCTTGTCATTGCATCTTCAGTCTCCAGTTATCACACAGGAAGTTTGAACTTGAATTTTGGGGAGTATTTAGGGCTGTTTTTTTTTTTTTTTTTTTTGCCAGTCCTGAGGTTTGAACTCAAGGGTTTAGGCTTTTTTGCTCAAGGCTAGCATTCTACTACTTGAACCATAGCTTTACTTCTGGAGTTTGGCTGATTAGAGATAAGCATCTCACAGACTTTCCTGCCTTAGGCTGGTTTTGAACTGTGATCCTTAGATCTTAGCTTCCTGAGTAGCTAGGATTACAGGCATGAGCTACCTGCACTTGGCTTATGACTGATTCTTGCACTCTGTGGATCCCACAGTGATTGTGCATATAACATGTTGTTTGCAAAAAGAATGAACTTGCATTTGCTGTGCTTTTCTTTAAGCAGTAAGACTCAACTTTTTTTTACACATAATACACCTGTAGAGATTTTAAGTATTAAATAGTATAAGTACAGATTTCTGTTAAGTAATTGATAGTCCCACAGATATTGCCATTCTATTCTGTCTTGTTCTGCATTCTTGAAAAAAAAAATGTATAATTGAGAGCGTAAATCAAATTATAATTTAGCTATAGCTAGAATGGCCTTTTAACTTGCACGGAAGCTCATTATGGAATAATAATAATTTTTGCACATTACGTATTTTTAGGGCAAACATTTGTATTTTTTTCTTATGAAAAGTTGTTAGTTGTTGATGACATTGCTCAAGTTGTAGATTGCCTATTTATCCAAGCACAAGGCTTTGAGTTCAAACCCAGCACTGTTAAAAAATATATGTGTGTGTATGTGTGTATTTGTGAACACACATACACACATGCACGTGCATACACCCACAAGCGTGGCTCAGGTTGAACATTTGTCTAGCATATGCAAAGCCCTGGATTTGATCACAAGTTCTAAAAAAAGAAACAAAAACCCTGTTAATTTGGAGACCCAATTCTTCAAACAGTTGGCTAGCATATGGTACAGGTAGAATATTTTGAGAAATCTTAATACAGCATATAAATTATCGGTTTTCATTTCATTCTTAGGTTTTATCTTATTTTATAAGATGATTTTTGAGCCACGTACAACAATGGCCAATAATGCAAGTGGGTTATTTTTTATTTGACTTAAGGATCCTAGCAGTTTTTAGTAGAAACAGTTTGGCAATATGAAACTTTTGGCGGCTAACATTGATAACTCTAGACCTTATGCTTAGTTGGAAGCTGTTCTCCAAAGCATTATATAATTTAAAAATTAATCAAAATTCTGAATTAATGCAACTGTATTAACATAATATAATAGATGTGCTAATTTGTTTGAGGTAGTAGTTGCTTTGGTATGCTGTCCATCTTAAGTGTATACAGCAAAAAATAGCAAATGAATGTGGCACATGGTAGCCAGATCATTAGTGTTGTAATGCCTGGTCACCTTTTGTCACCTGATTTTGTCATTTAACTTAGGGGAAATACTTTAACCTTCTCTTCCTTCTCTTTCTAGGTGCCTATTATTAAATTAACAGATTCTTTTACTGAAGTCAAAGTTGATATCAGCTTTAATGTCCAGAATGGCGTGAGGGCAGCAGACCTCATCAAAGATTTTACCAAGGTCAGAGCCTCTGTGGGAGCCTAGGGTGAAAGTGTAGGGAATGGAGTTCTGTCCTGAGTCCATTAGTTTTTACATGCATACTACTGACCAGCACTTTTTCCTTCTATGCCTGTTCTGCCTCTCTGGAACCTGTCATGGTCAGCATTGTGGTGTTTGTGACCTGGGGTGAGAGCAAAGATGGGGATGCTTTGGAAGATATTCTGTGCTCTAGGGACATGCAGGCTGAGCTGGTGCTGCTTGGTTGATGCCTGTGTTTTTCTTTTTGGGTCCGGTCATGGGGCCTGAATTCTGGGCCTGGGTGCTGTCCCTCAGCTCTTCAGCTCAAGGCTAGCACTCTACCACTTGAGCCACAGCTCCACTTCCGGCTTTTTTCTTTTTGCTTATGTGGTGCTGAGGGATCGAACCCAGGGCTTCAGGCATGCAAGGCAAGCACTCTACCACTGAGCCACCTTCCCAGCCCTTTTTTTTTTTTTTTCCAAACTCAGATTAAGAGCATCCCTTGGAAAACACCTCAAATCCCTGGGTCCCTTGTAAAGTGCCTGCAGATTTTCTTGTTTTTCTCTTGTAGTATTGTGGTTTATTTGTTCCGATTTTCTTCCAAGACAGGGAAGAATTTGCCAACCTCATTTTCAAAACATTTTTAAACAGCTGCCAACTTTCCTTAAGCTAAACTGCTCATTGCTTTGACTTATGTAATTTCTTTTCTTTTCTTTTTTTTTGGTGAGAAAAGTTGGTGAAGCTTTATTGACTAGGTAAGCAAGCAAACAAGCAGACACACAGACAAAAAACTGACAGACAGAAGGGCACACTCTTAACAGAGTGTGGATGTTCTCTTGGAGGAAGATAAGAGACATCTGTAATATCTTTTTTATCCATTCATAATTTTTTTCTTAAGGAGGGGCACAGTTTCTATTTATCTTTCTTTGGTTTTGTTTTCATTTGCTTTGTTGAAGTGAAACAGGCTGACTGGAATTTGAGATTCTCCTGCCTCTTATTTTCTGAGTCCTAGGACTTTAAGAGCCTGCCAACATCCCCAGCTCCATTATTTTGTGTGTATGTGTATTTTTTTATTGTTATTATAAAAGTGATGTACAGAGGAGTCACAGTTACAGAAGTCAGGTAATAAGTACATTTCTTTTTGGGCAATCACTTCTTCCATCTCTCTCCTAGTTTTTCCCTATAAGCTGTATAGTTCATTCTCACCATAGTATCTAGTGAGTACTACTGCTGCATTTGTTCACCCGTTGTACTTATTACCTGACTTCTCAGCCCCCTGAGTAGCTAGGATTACGGGTGAGAGCCACCAGCGACTGGTGGTTTTTGGCAGTTTTTTTTTTGGTCCAGGCTGGCCTGGAACTTTTATCCTCCTGATCTCAGCCCCCCACATAGCGGAGATGACAGGCACATACTACCTCACTCAGCTAGCTGTTGGTTGAAATGGTGTTTTCATGAACTTTCTGCCCAGGTTAGATTCAAACTGCAATTCTAATCTCAAATTACTCCTAATCCCAGCTCTCAAGTAGCTAGGATTACAGGCCTGAGTCGCTTATTTCTTTTTTCCTAAATAGAAACTTTAGGTTAGGTACCAGTGGCTCGTGCTAGGATTACAGTAGCGGCCAAGACCTTGAGGGTTATTGTAGTTCAGAGTCAATCCAAGCAGAAACATCCTTAAGACCCATCTCTAATTAACCAGCAAAAAGGTAGAAGCCTGGCTTAAGTGCTAGAGCACCAGCTTTGAGCAAGAATACAGAGCCAGAGCATGAGACCTTGAGTCCAAACCCCAGTACTTCCAAAAGAGGAAGGAAGGAAAGAAAGAAACTTTAAATTGGTTAGATGCAGTGTTTTAAGCTTAAAGTCCCAACTACTCAGGAGACGAAGATTGGGAGGGGATGGTAGTTTAAGGCCAGCCTGAGCAAAAAGTTAGCAAGACCATTTCAGCAAACAAACTCTAACATGTTGGTTTTTATCTGTAATCCTAGCTACATGGGTTATGTAGGTAGGAGGATCTTTAAAAAGAGACTGTATCTAGAGCTGGGAAGGTGGCTCAGTGGTAGAGCGCTTGCCTTACATGTATGAGGCCCTGGGTTCGATTTCTCATCACCACATAAGCAAAAAGAAAAAAGCCATACGTGGTGCTGTGGCTCAAGTGGTAGAGCGCTAGCCTTGAGCTGAAGAGCTGAGAGACAGCACCCAGGCCCAGAGTTCAAGCCCCACGACCGGACCCCCACCCCCAAAAAAAGAGACTGTATCTAGTCTGATTTCAACCATAATTAATTTAAAAATGCTTAGTTCTTTTTTGTTTTCATTCATGCTTGCTTGCATTGATATAATTTGCAAAAAGTCCAAGCGATTTCTTTTTGAAGCTGTATGTGGTCACTGTAGGAAGTGTAGAAAACACTCAGATAAGATATCTTCAGTGGTCCTACTGGCTCCACAGAATGGCTTTGAGACTCCTTCCTGGGTTGGGCCTGTGTTGTTTCCTCTGTGTCCCTAGTCTGAAGATTATACTTCCAGGGTGCTTGGTGGAGCTCTGAACATTCTGAAAGACAGTGGACAAGACTCTTCTCCTCCCAATATCTATCTGTAGGACCAGGTATACAGGGAAGTGCCAACCAAGAAAACCCTCAACATCCCACTGGTTGAATATCTGTTTAAGACACACAAATACATACATTTAGATATACATAGATACATAGTGTGACTGTCTTACATAACAAGTGAATTTCAGGAAGGAAGAGAATAAAATCTTAAAAAAAAAAAAAGAAAACAAAAAACAATGCTGGTTGAGTATGTTAAATGTTAAAAGACTGTCATCTTGGACTGTTTGTGTTTCCAGTTTACAAATGACTACCTTGTCCGTGGTTGTGAGCATCATTGCATATGTACTGAACACATGTTTCTTATTTATGTTACCATAGGTCAGGTTTCAAATACGAGGAGAAATCCCTTAATTACTTGCAGCTTACATTTTTTAAAGAATTGTTGACCCTTAAGAAAGTTAGGCACTGGTGGCTTATGCCTGTAATAGATCTAAGGATCACAGTTCTAAGCCAGACGGGGCAGGAAAGTCCATGAGACACTAATCTCTAACCACCCAAAAGCCACAAGTGGTGCTGTGGCCCAAGTGGTAGAACCCTAGCCTTGAGCAAAACGAAAGGTGCAGGATCAGCATCATGCCCTAGGTTCAAGCCCCAAGAATGGCACCAAAAATAAAATAGTTAAGTATATTGTATATTTCTACCAAATTTGAATATAAGGGCCAGCTTTTGTCCCTTGCAAATATTTGTACCTGTTGCTGATAGAGGGGTTTGTTAAAAATACAATTTTGTTTCTCTTTCAGAAATACCCTGTATTGCCATACTTGGTTTTAGTATTGAAACAGTTTTTACTACAGAGGGACCTTAATGAAGTATTTACAGGTGGAATTGGTTCTTACAGTCTCTTTTTAATGGCGGTCAGTTTCCTTCAGGTGAGTTGCCTGGGTCACTCTGCTAGTGCTCACTGAAGAAAGATGGATTGGGAAAAATTTAAATCAAGTTTTCTTGGAATACTTCTCTTGATTATGTATGGCACTTTAAACTGTGTACCTTTTTGTGGTTTAACAAGTATTTAAAAATTCCTAGGAGAGAATATTCATAATTTTTGGTTCCATATGTTCTAGTGTGTTTGGGACTTCACTATAGATACTAACATGCAGAAATATGGCCTGGTTCCCATAAGCATACGTGGCAATGTAAACGCCCCAAATAAGAATGTCTTCTATGCAACTAATTGTGTGAATTTAGCTGGAATTGAGGCTTGGTCTTCTGTGTCTGTGTGATAGTGGTTGCCAATAGCCACACTCTGATGTGAATCAGATGTCTTCTCTGAAGTGATGGCCAAGACCATTCTGTCAGTGCCTGGGGCAGCCTTACAGACTGTCCTTCGCCACTGTACCCGTGACATTGTTGTACAGTGCTGTCTGCCAAGCCCAAGTTCTAATACTGCTGGTAGAAATGAAGTTGCTGTTTAAACCCTCTTCTGATAATTTCTCTTTTCTTGTTTTAGTTACATCCCAGGGAAGACGCTTGCATCCCCAATACAAACTATGGTGTTCTCTTAATAGAATTTTTTGAATTATATGGACGGCACTTCAATTATCTAAAGACTGGCATCCGGATAAAGGATGGTGGTTCATATGTGGCCAAAGATGAAGTACAGAAAAATATGCTAGATGGCTATCGACCGTCAATGCTGTATATTGAAGATCCTTTACAACCAGGTATTGAAATTAGGTAAATTTGTGGGCATCCAAAGAGAGGGCATTGTAGTCACTGTACTTCAGACTTAGTGTGTGTGTGTGTGTGTGTGCTGGTACTGGGGCTTGAACTCAGGGCCTGGACACTGTCCTTTAGCTTTTTCACACAAGGCTAGTGCTCTGCCACTTGAGCCACAGATCTGCTTCTGGGTTTTTGGTGGTTAATTGGAGAGTCTTACAGACTTTCCTTCCAGGCTTCAAACTGTGATTCTTAGATCTTAGTCTTCTTGAGTAGCTAGGATTACAGGCATGAGTCACCAGTGCCCAATTTATTTCAAACTTTTTTAGGTGAAAAATGCAGGATAATTTCTGACTGTGCTTATTTCCCAGAAAACATCCTCGAGACTTCCAGATGAGTCGAGAGTAGAAGCCATTTGACTCGTATGAGCTACCCAAGATAGCTTTCCATTATTTGGGTAGGATCACGTGCAGGCCCAGACGACTACTTTTCCTTTGACTTGGGGGCTCATTGCTGTGCTTGCAGCCAGCTGTCAGTAGGAATGTTAGGTACTCTGACATCCTTAGGGGCAGTGAGCATGTAAGTGGATCCCTGAGTTCAGGCAAGCCCTTTGACCACTTCTCTGATTTAATGTAGTGTCCCTGTGCTTTTTCAAACTTTGTGGTGGCTTAAAAGTGAACAGAAAAGAAATTCCTTTCATGCAGTTGTATTTATTTGCTTCTGTGTTCATTTTTCTGGACAATATTTTTTTCCTGTTTAAACTATAAAATCTTTAGATTCTTTATTGTTGGCTTTAGTGCAAGTGCTGTTACTTATTTTCTATAACTTTCTATAACTTTGAAAATGAGTAAGGAAGGAAAGACACACAACTGCCTACAAGCCCTTTCCTAGCTCACTCAGCTGCCTCGTAAAGGTTAATAGATCTGTCTTTATTTATTGAAGAAATAATTTTTGGGAGCTCACGCTATACAACAGTACTATGCAAGGACATGAAAGCTTTCTAGGAGCTCATAATTTAGTTTAGAAAATAAGTATGTAGTTAAGTAAAACCAAAACCAAACAAAAACTCCACAAACAAAAGAGCAATTTGTAATTTAGCTTAGTTTTATTCTAGAGACACAATAGGAAGCTATTTCTTTGGTTTGCATGGCTGTGTATATATATATATGTATATATATGCTAGGAGAACCCTTGTTGAGCAGCAAACATTTAGGCATTGGGAATGTTGCTACTGTATGTTCAGATACCAGGGAGCTAAGGGAGTGACTGCCAGCTCAGCTCCTGGTATACCTTCTTGCTCTCCTGGAAGAGAGATAATCTACATTTCTTCACATTAGACAGCAGTCAAGCTTACTACTTTGCATGTACATTTCTCTTAAAGGTAATGATGTTGGAAGGAGCTCATATGGGGCCATGCAAGTGAAACAGGCCTTTGATTATGCCTACGTTGTTTTGAGTCATGCTGTATCACCAATTGCAAAGTACTATCCCAACAATGAAACTGAGAGGTAAAAAAAAAAATCTACCTAAAGTCAGCCCATTGTGTCAGAATTGCTTGTAGCTTTTTATTATCGTGTTAATGTACCCTTTTATTTTTTAAACCCACACAGCATATTAGGTAGAATAATTCGAGTGACAGATGAAGTTGCCACATATAGAGATTGGATATCCAAGCAATGGGGCTTACAGAATAGACCCGAGCCTTCATGCAATGGTAAGACTTCTTCCTTGATTGATGGACCAAGTCTTAGAGGCTTTTCTGTGTTGTGTGTATTTAATGGGAAGAAACGTTTTCCAATCTTTTGCCATTCTTTCAGGAAATGGTGTTACCTTGATAGTAGATACTCAGCAGTTAGATAAATGTAATAATAATCTGTCTGAAGAAAATGAAGCCCTTGGAAAATGTAGAAGTAAAACTTCGGAATCTCTTAGTAAACACTCTTCAAACTCTTCATCAGGTCCAGTGTCGTCCTCTTCTGCCACGCAGTCCAGCTCTAGTGATGTCGTAAGTATGACACACAGCTCCACTTACCTGTTCCCTTGCTGGGGTGGGCTGTCCAGATGGTAGAGGCTGCTGCCTTTCATTTGATACTGGAAAACTTAAATAGCTTTCACACTTGAACTTCATTATATAATATTTCCTTAAGAAAAATTTCAAGCCAGGAGCTATAATTACAGGCTCATGCCTGTAATTCTTGCTGCTCAGGAGGCTGAAATCTGAGGATTGTAGTTCGAAGCCAGTTTGGACAGGAAAATCTATGAGACTCGTAGGTCCAGTTAATCACCAAAAAGCCAAAAGTAGAGTTGTGGCTCAAGTGGGTACAACACGATAAAATTCTTTAAAGTTCAGGGAGAGTGCTCAGTCCCTGAGTTCAAGCCCCAGGAACCTCCCCCTCTCCCCCACCCCCCCAAAAAAAAAACAAAATAATTTCAAATTTACAGTTTTAATGACATCTGTATACTCACCTTCAACATTTTCCTTGCGTATCTTGTGCTTGTCCATCCATGCCTCTATCATCAGATCGTCTTATTCCTTGATCCTTTCAAAGGAGAATGAAAATACTGGGACACTTCTCTCAAACTTCTGAGGTGTACATCATAAGTTACCTGTCAGTATTTGCTTATACTTTTTTTTCCTTTGATATAAAGAGAACGCTAATCTTGTATTCAGTGAATTTATCAGATGCCTTCAGCTCTGTAGCCCAGAATTCTACTAAGAGTGTTCCCATCACCCCAGGGAGCTCTAAAAGACTTCTGGTCCTCAGACCCCAGACCATCCTCAGAGGGAACCACTGACCACTTGTAACAGTGCACCTTATATGCTTGTTGGCAGATTGCATATAAATGAGATCATGTGGTGTATATGCCTTTCTGAATGGCCTCTTGCACTCAAAATACTGTTTTTGATCTTGATTTAATATTTAAAAGCAGACAAAATGTACATATCATGAAGTTTAACATTAAAGTGTACAACTCAGTGGTTTTTAATATATTCACAATGTTCTATAGCCATCACCACTCTCTTAATTCCACATTTCCATCATCCCAGAAAGAATTCGTGTCCTTCCCCATTCTTTCCTCTGACCTCTCATCTACTTTTAACCTATTCAGTTACCTCTTACATTAGTTTCCCTCGCCCTTCTTCCTTCTCTCCCTCCTTCCCTCCTTCTCCCCTTTCCTCCTTTCCTTCTTTCCTTCTTTCTTTCTGTCAGTTGTGGGGCTTGAATTTGGCCTGGGTGCTGTCACTGAGCTTTTTCACTCAAGGCTAGAACCCTACCATTTGAAGCCACAGCTCTACTTCAGGTTTTCTAGTGATCTTATCGAGATAAGAGTCTCATGGGCTTTCCTAGCCAGGCTAGCTTTGAACCTCGATCCTCAAATCTCAGCTTCCTGAGTAGCTAGGATTACAGGTGTGAGCCATTGGTACCTGGCTTACATTAGTTCTCTTTATTGAGGTAAATTTTAAGGTTACTTAATTAAGACTTAAAATAAGGCTCATGTATTATTTGAAATTTGAATTTATTAAATGTGTAACATAAAAAGTAGGTGTATAAGGGACTTAATTATGGCCACATATCACTATGAGTGATAAGTATTCATAGTGAGTCTTCCAGTATGCCTCCTGGGTCCTTGAGTGGTATTCTGGAGTATGGATGATCTCTAAGCTAGATGATCTACACACAAAGTACAGGAGCAGACACAGCCTCAAAAGGGAGCACTTGGGGTGAGGCAGTGTGACTGACATGTTAGATGCTGTGCTCAAGTGAAGGGGTCCCCATATTCATGGCCTAAATAGCTCAAGAAGCAGCTGGGGCATGACCCCCTGTTCTAAGAAGTCTGCACCCACATATTTGGTCAAAGGGATCTGTCACCCCAGATTCTTAAGAGAATGAGCCACTGAAGCCTGTCGTCTTCTTTTTGATTGAAGACAGTGAGCCAAGACTGGGGCCTGAGTTTCTACTCTCTACCCTGTTCTTTCCATGGTACTGTAATTTGTTTTCTATAAATAAAAATGCCAATCAACTGGAATTTATGTGAGCTCCTCAGCTGATTAACAAGTTAGATATGGGTGGAGATCTTAGCAATGAGCAGAAGCCCTCAGGTAAAATAAGTCACTTGAAATGTTTGGGAAAAAACTTACAGTAATTCATTCTGAATAGCCCTCACTCGGCCCCCTCAATTTATGAATATTTCAGTTTAGAGAGTACATAGGCAAAGTTGCTTTCCTTTCTGAATATTGAATATGTAAATTACTAATATGGCCCAGAATAACACATCTGATTTGTGTTAGGATTCTGATGCAACACCATGTAAAACCCCCAAACAGCTGCTCTGCCGTCCATCCACTGGCAGCCGAGTAGGGTCACAGGATGTGTCCTTGGATTCCTCTCAGACAGTTGGAAAAATGCAGAGTACCCAGACCACTAATACATCCAACAGTACCAACAAATCTCAGGTATGTGGAATTTGCAAATCTAATAGTTCATATTCAATACAAAAAGTTACAATTTCTGACATGTTAACAATGATTATCTTGATTGTGAAGAAAACTCTAGGTTAAAGAACAAATCTGTTTTGTCCTAAGAGTTTCCAAAGCATGACAATGCTTCTAAAAAATACCAGGATGTCCTGAGGATCTTTATAAGACACCATTGCAACAAAAACTTTTGTGGGATTCTGGTGACCAGCCATAATGAGACGTCCCAAACAACCTGACTTATTACAGACTCAGCTTAAGAAATTACATGGGCTGAGGATGTAGCTCGGGGGTAAAACATGTTTTCTCATGCAGAAGGCCCTAGGCCAGAGGGATCATTTTAAATTTTTACTTAGAGTTATTATTAACCATGAAAAAATAATCATAATGAGGGTAGGAAACCCTTAATACTGGGATGTGGATTAATGTCCTCTCACTTTATCAATTACCAATTACCTCTCACCTTAGCAAATACAGCTAGGACCCTAGGAAAAGGCTGCTTAGGGCAGAGCCAAGATGACTGACTCATGAGTTACCTTTGATCAGATTTGACAGGCTGAATCTACTACACCTTTACAGTCCTAGCCATCTGCATCAAATGCAGAGTGGTAGCATTATAAGTGACAGGGCTGACAGAACAGATTGGCGTCTAGAAGAAGCCATCGAGGGTGATAGCTGGAGCAGAGCAGCCAGCTTGCATTGCTCCTGACCTGCATACCTCTGCCCACACACCTCTTCGTCAGTGTTGCTTAGCATGGTGTAGGTCCCTTGAGAATTCTTTCATATTCTGTACAAGAAGACAAGATAGTGGTCTATTTTCATGTTGTTTTTCAGAAGTTAACCTTCAGTTAACTCTCTTTTTTTTGTGCCTACTAAAATGGTCAGTGTGAGTGTGGTGACTCTCACCTGCATATTTCTAGTTTGGGAAGTTTCTTTCTGATACCAGATTTGCCATTCTGCAATACTGATGTCTTTCTGACCGCTTTCTTTTTCTGCAGCATGGATCAGCAAGGCTCTTTCGTTCCTCCAGCAAAGGCTTCCAAGGTACAGCTCAAACAAGCCATGGTTCCTTGATGACAAACAAACAGCATCAAGGCAAATCCAATAACCAGTATTACCATGGCAAAAAGAGGAAACACAAGAGGGACGCGCCCCTCTCAGACCTTTGTAGATAGTCGGCGCTGTGCGACGGACTGATTCTGTGTTCAGTGATCTCGTGCTCAGGACAGTCGCGCAGGGACTCCTGGGGACAGCAGGAGCCTCACACTGTTCAGACGCTGATTTAGCAACTGCGTTTTTTCCCAGCTCGCCACGGAACGGATCATGAAGACTGACAACTGCTAAAACAAAAACAAGCAAAAAGGGGGAAAAAAAGGCTGCTTATTTGATAAGTCATATGCTACAACAGGGTCATTTTAAGATTTAAAGCTTGAATGTAAAATAAATATATTTCTCATTGGCTTTATGCAGAGTTATAGAGAATAGTATTCAGTGTGGGTAGGGTGATAGAAACAAGAAACAGTTTCAGAGGATGGGGTGGGAAGGCAAATGAGAGTATCTTATAGGAAGTCCAGATTCCAAAGGGGAAAGTGATCTGTGCATGTTTGTTTTTTTTTAATATTTTTGCATATATTTACCATTTTATTGTGTATATATAGAAGAGCATATAGGAAATTGATATTTGTAATAGTGGATTTGTTAATACTTTTTACATAACATTACTGTTTGAATTGTGAACAGATTTTTTTCTCAGGATTAGTTTGAAGAATAATCTGAATTGTCATCCCAGCATCCACACAGGGAAGGGATTAACTCTGCTACTCAATTTGTTCTCCTCAGCATTGAAGTGACTTCATAGAACCCTTGTGACCTGCTGCAAAATGTTTTCCTCTCTAGCAAAAAGGTTTATGGTGGCAAATGACATTTATTTTGTAAAAAGAAATGTACTATGTACTTTTGTGTAAACACTGAAAAGTCTCTATTCATCTCTGAGAATTAACTTGCAACTGTTTTCTATAGTGCTGTCTTCTTGGGCAATGGGCAGTTACATGACTGTGTTTGTTTCCTCTGCAGTCTCCCCTTCTCTCCTGCCCCTCCCTCACTAGCTTCTTCCTACTAGGAGAGTAAAGGCCACCTGGTCTGTTCTGTGCTCTGTTCCCATCTCCTCAGTGAGACCTTGAGCTCACAGACTGCATGCGGCCGCTCTACCCTGTGTGCTACGTGTGCTTTGTCTCTCATCTCTTCTCACTTCACACTCACTACAGTAGGAGGGAATAACTGTATGCAGCTTTAATTAAATCACACTATAAAACTATTTTCTTATACTCCACTTTATGCTTTTGGTATTGTTGATCTTTAAAAATTAAATGGTCTTTGATAGTGGATCTATTTTGTATTGCCTTATTAAGACCAAATACTTCTTGTCATCCCATTCTTTATCCCTCTACTTTCGTGGAATTGTTGTCTTTAATTAAAACTTTTTTAAACATTGGCTTGTTTTAATCATACTGTAAATTTTGGTTGTGGTCAGCTTTGAGTGCAAATGAAATGTGTAATTCTGTTATCATTTGTTGAGTTTGAAACTCAATTGGGAATATTGAATATAACGGAATGTAAGTGGCATTTCTGAAAATGCTTTCTTCTAAGGTGAAGGTCCTTGTCAATGTGTGACTGTTAAATGCGGCCATTTCTGAGATGAGATTCTTTTATATATGTGTGTGTATATACATGTACACACACATATATATGTATGAAGGACTATTGGCTTTTAGGAGTTTCTTTTATACCTTTATGAAATACTGAAGACCAATTAGACCATTAATGGACACTTAGTGCAACCTTTTATAATGAGAATAATGCTAAAAGTAAGACCAAAACCGGTATCATCACTGAAATTAACAATTTCCAATATGTTCATATTTTAATTCACAATGAAAAAATATGTTCCACAACTGGAAACTCATAGTACTTGTGTAAACCGTGGGAGATTTTAAATGTGATATTATTTTGACAATGTTTTAGAGTCACATTTTATTCTGATCAGAATTTTTATTAAGATGTTGAAGCTTTTGTTTTTTTGAAACTAGTTTGTCATAACATATTGTGCATAATCACAGTATTTATTTTGTAGGACTATTGTGAATGTGTAGACTTATGTTTACTGCTAAGGGAACAATTATTTATAAAATAATATTAAATCCAGTATTAGCTGCCTATTTCAGACACTTAATACTCACAGAGATCCATGTTACATTTACCACACTGAAGTTTGTTTTTAAAGAATCACCCTCATTGTTGAAAGTAAATGTACTCTTAGGGTGCGAATATTAGTGTTCCAATAAGCATGTGATTATATTGAGGCGGTGGTAGCGGGAAGGTAATCTTGATTCCATTGGGAATCTTAGGTTTTCGTAAATTTATTGGGAAAATAGTTTTTCCTGTACTGCTGAAGTTTCTTTTTGGTAAACAGTATCTTTCTAAAAGAAAAAGCATGAAGGAGGACTTGAGGTGTGTATACATTTCCTCAATGACCAGCATTGTACTCGTGAATACTGTGTATCTTGCAATGAACAGTGTGGACACTGTTCAGTTTTCAATCTGAAGTAAAATACTTTCAAGAACTTTTAGTTTGCCTGCTCATTTGTTTTGTGCATTTCATCTCTATATTTGTCTCCTGACTTTTTAAAGATTTGAGTTTCAATGCTTTCTACAGAGACTTAGTGATTATCTCGGAAGTGTGTCATTTAAATATTATAGTCCATCCATACCTATGATCATAACTAGAATGGGTATTACAGGTTCTGCCCCCCTGTCCTAACATATCTCTAGTAGTTATGGGGGCCTGGCCTAAGAACCATTTAAATCCTGCTTTATGAAGGTGCTGGTGGCTGGGAGGGTATTTGCCCAAACCTGATGCAGAAGGAAGATGCGATGTTTGTTTTTTTTCCTCTCCAGTTTCCTCTCCAATTCCTTTCCATGAAGGTGCCTGGTCTTTCGAACTGTCTTTGTTGGTTTGGTGGTGCTGCCCATGGATTTCAGATCTCAGTGATTTGTAGGATTTAATGTTTAGATGGCCCCCAGTTTTCAAAAGTTGGTCAAGTAACACGTTTTTCTGGGTTTGAGGGGTATATCTTACCTTGTATTCTGAGCTTCAGTATTTATTGTTACTTTAGATAATGTCCTTACAGAGAAAAGTGGGGGCCAAAGGACGAGCATTTTAATCGTCTCTCATGGTCTTCTGATTACTCCCCTATCTTATACGTGAGTTGTGTTTGCATCACCCTATAAAGATTTACAGAAATGTGGAGGAGAGTCAGTACAAGACCAGGAAATAAGCAGGGCCTATTGCAGGGACATACAGAGTTCCAGTGATGAGGAGGTGTACTGTAGTAATTGCCATTACTGAGTAATACTAATTTTTTTTTTTTGTAGCACTGAGGATGGATTGATAAGTTTAGCTAATGTTTTTGTTGGTCATGACTACATCTCACTTTTAATATTTATCTGTGGTTTAAAGCTGACCAATTCCTGTATTATGCTGTTGCTTTCCTTTCTTTTGTGTTGGTTCTGGGACTTGAACTCAGGGGTTTGCACTCTTCACTCAGCTTATTTACTAGTTGTTTTCCACTCAACTAGCATTCTATCACTTGAGCCATTCCTCCAGTCGGCTGCTGCTGATTTTTTAGTATGACAGTTACCGACACACTGTTTCTAGGGTATTGATTGCTTCATAGTTAATTTTTCAAAAGTTAAATGGCATTTTTGCTGTGATCAATACTGAAATGTTAAATGACTAGAAGAACTTACTCTTAGCTATCCATTCTTTCCAAGCATGTTCAACTATTGTAATTAGTGGAAAGCGACATCCACATGTCATAAAGCATTTTGTAAATGAAGTATTTTGTACATGGTTCTCTTAAACTTAAGCCAAAAAGTTAGACTTAATAGTTCCTCAGTAATTTTTTATCAGGGATGTAGTTGATCTTGTGAAATATTCAGAGAAAGATGGAGTTCCTTGGCAGTATTAGATTTCGCTTGCCTCTTCTAATCCTTAAGATTAGCTGGCTGCCATTTTCTCAGGACATTTATGGGTGGAATAAGTGCTAAAGAACACACTTTAGTGTGTTCACATAGATCAGAAACAAGTCAAAGTCCACTGTGAAGGTAATTTATATGACTTAACAACTTTACAGCCTCTCAAAGCCCTTTTCCCTACCACCTCATGAGTTATCTTGACCTCAAGTTGACAAGCGCCTTGTTTTTTTGTTTTTGGTCAGTCATGGGGCTTGAACTCTGGGCCTGGGCACTGTCCCTGTGCTCTTCAGCTCAAGGCAAGCATTCTACCACTTGAGCCACAGCGCCACTCTGGTTTTCTGGTGGTTAATTGGCGATAAGAGTCTCATGGCCTTTTCTGCCCAGGCTGGCTTTGAACTCTGATCCTCAGATCTCAGCTTCTTGAATTGTTAGATTTATAGGCGTGAGCCACCTGTGCCCAGAGCCTTTTTTCCTTTCTTTTCTTTCTTTTTTTTTGGTCATAGATAATGAACTAAATATATGCATAAATTAGATGACAGAATTGTTAACCAGAAACTGTTGATCTATTTAGTACCCAGAATTAAATTTTTAAGTCAGTTTTGAGTTAATAAATTGCTTTACTGTATCTGGGCTTTGCTAGAATGCTTTTGGTTTGGTGGCACTGGGGTTTGAACTTGGTAGGTAGGAGTTCTTCCACTTGAGTCACATCCCTGATCCTTGTTTAAAAAGTGTACTTGGCTCTGAGATTTTCTTAATGAGTTAACACTAACCAATGGTCTGCTGGCTGAAGTGGGAACAGGAAGGTAGAGGTGGCATGTCTGTCCAAGTTGGTCACTATAAATTGAGGTGACTCCAGATTTACTGACAGGACATGGTTGCCATTTTAGTAAGACCAGATGCAGAGGAGGAAGTTAGGTATTCTTTGTATCTCCGTTGTTTGTTTTACTAGTATTTGAACATATTCTTTAATAAAGGTCATATACAGAGGGTAATGAGTACATTTCTTTTTGGACACTGTCACCCCTTACTTTGCTCAGTTTTTTCCTTTTGTCTCTGACACATCATCTTTATTTTTACATAGTAACGCCCATCCTTGTTTCTGCACCCATGGCTTGCTTCCCTGTTGTTTGTCAGCTTGATGGTGGGGGAGGGTTTTGCTAAGGACACAGTCTAAGGATACAGTACACTTAGCAGCTGGTAGCAAGGCTGGAGCAGAGCAAGCTGGTTATTACTTGATGGGTGGGCTGGGTAGGAGGACAGCCCGCACTCAGGAAAGGGCAGTGCCTGCCGCTAGGGCTGGGGTGCCGTTTCCTTCAAGAGAATGTGATTTGGGGTTGTCAGCCACACCTTTGCCTTTCAATTTGGGTTTCTTGATATGCATAGCTCTTTGGGGGAAGATCATTTTCATTATTACCTTTATATGTAATTGCAACTTATTAACATAATGCTTTGCCTTTAAACATAATCTTTGTAGTTTCAGTACACCCCTCCTTTTTCTATATTAGTTTGTTTTAATTTACAAAAGTCACTTAAACCCTCTGAATAACTGGGTTCCAGTGGCTCATGCCTATAATCCCAGCTACACAGGAGGCTGAGATTGAGGGTTGATGTTCAAAGTCAGCCCAGGCAGGCAAGAAACTTCATGAGTCTCTTATCTCCAGTTAACCAGCAAAACTGGAAATGGAGGTATAGCTCAAGTACTAGCACCAACCTTGAGCTAAAAAACCTAAGTTGAAACACCAGTATCAGCACTAAAAATAAAAGAGTCCTATAGTTTTGTAAGTCACTGCTGAAACATTTGGTTTTAGAGGTGAGAGGTGGCAGGCAGCGAGTGTAGTTTCTGGACCTGAAGAGAGAAAGGACATTGGGATGGACGGTTCTTAGCACATACATAGACGTGTTTAGAAAGTGGAGTGGTCTGGATCCATGTTTGTCTTAATAACCTCTTTCTTTATTCCCTTCTCTGATCAGCATTGCCTTCTGTGTTCAGAAACTCGGACTCCTGTGAGGTGCTGGAGGTTTGAACGTCTTGAATGCCTTCCCATCTTGTCTAGTTACTGCTGCAGAGGCACTAAGGAATGTACCAGAAAAAAGGATTTGGTACAGATGATAAATGAAATCTCAGGCACCAGTTATGAAAACCATGAATGAATGAATGAATGTATACCTGGAAACTTTTTTAAAGCTATCTTCACAGATGTCACTTGTTTGCCTTGAAAATTTTATAAATTGCATTTCTATGCATATCTGCCCCCAGTGCTTCTCACTGGTCCATTAATCCTAATCTGTTCAATAAAGACTTTGTGCTTTCATTTACCTTCACAACCTCTGTTGTGAGCCTCTGTATAAAACCTGGATTGCTGCCTTTTGTTTTCCTGCCAGTACTGGGACTTGAACTCAGGAATTGGGCTCTGTCCCTTAGCTTAAAAAAATGTTTTAAGCCAGGCACTGGTGGCTCACTCCTGTAATCCTAGCTACTCAGGAGGCTGAGATCTGAGGATCATAGTTCAAAGCCAGCCTGGCAGGAAAGTCCATGAGACTCTTGTCTCCAAGTAACCACCAGAAGGCCAGAAGTGGTGCTGTGGCTCAAGTGATAGAGCACTTGCCTTAAGCTAAAGAGCTGAGGAACAGCACCCAGGCCCAGAGTTCAAGCCCCATGACTGGCAAAAAGTTTTATTAGTATTATAAGAGTAATTTACAGTGGGGATAACAGTTACATAAGTCAGATAAAGAGTACTTGAGCCCTTTTGCTCAAGGCTAGCACTCTACCACTTGAGCCATAGCTCCACTTCTGGTTTTGAGTGATTGATTAGAGATGAGAGTCCCACGGGGACTTTTCTGCTAAGGCTGGCTTGGAACTGCATCCTGAGTAGCTAGAATGACAGGTGTGAGCCACCAGCACCCAGCTAAGAGGACTTTTCTTTTTGGGCAATGTCAACCCAGATTTTGTCATGTTTGCTTTTTTTTTAATTTTTGTGTGCTAGTCCTACAGCCTGAACTCAGGGTCTAGGCATTGACCCTTAGCTTTTTCACTCAAGGCTAGTTAGTACTCTACTGCTTCAGCCACAGCTCCATTTCAAACTTTTTGGTGGTACTTGGAGATAGGGGTTGCCCAGACTTTCCTGCTGGGGCTGGCTTCAAACCACAATCCTCATGTTTCAGCCGCCTGAGTAAGCTTATATGAGCCACCAGCACCTGGCTCTACTTTTAAAAGAAAAGATTTGTAATTCCAAATGCAACCCTGTTCAGATAGAGTGGAGGTTTTCTTCCTCATTGTATCCTGTGGGTTCCTGGATCATCATAGAGCTGCTTTTCATCCTTTTTAGTGCCAGAATGGAGAGGATATTTTAGGATGATGTTTTCCACTGTTCTGTCCACAGACCACAGTACCAGCATGGTTTCCCCATGTATCTTGGTGGTTTGCAAATACCAGCCAGCTTAAATCTCTGCCCCCTTAAACGTAAGGGATGAGGTGTGCAGTGGTAAGAAATTGAAGTGCTACAAGCAGGATAGATTTGGTGGAGCAACATTTTACATAGACCTGTAATAGAATAATGAAAGGGGAGGGGGGTCAGCAGGTCAGCAGT